GGAATACATACATGGAATTTGGAGAAAACTTTCAGATCGCGTTAAAAGTCTTTAACAAAGCGATTTTCACCGTAACTGTTATCTCCAATGGAAAACAGCTACGATTCACTAGAAAAGTCAAAAGTCCATTGAGCATCAGTTAGAAAAACAAATTGGAGATGAAACAAAGCGATGGAAAGTAATTTTACAATGCATTCTTGACGTCACAATTTTTCTAGCCTCACGAAACTTAGCTTTCAGGGGTAAGAATATTGTTTTTAAATTTTAAATTATATTTTGCATTATTTTATTTGTAATTTAAAAATCAAAATTACAAGTTTTAATTGAATATAAATATGGATTACTATTTTGATTATTTTTTGTTTGTAATTAGGATCCAATCAAAAGTTGTTCAAAAATGGGAATGGAAACTTCCTTGGAGCGCTCAAATTAATTACTCGCCACAACAAAACATTACAAGATCATATGCATCTTATTGCTAAGCACCAAGAAGAAGAAAAACGGATGCAAGCTCATTATTTATCTTGGAAATCACAAAATGAATTTATCAAGGAATGCGGCAAATTAGTGGTTCGGGAAGTTATTCGAGAAATCAAAAAATCAATATACTTTACCATCATCACGGACAGCACTCCCGATTCGTCCCACAGCGAGCAAATGACTTTTGTTTTTCGTTTTTTGCATTTCAATGATAATCAGCTGTGGGAGGTCAAAGAAAGATTCCTTAAGCTAGAAGAACTTGAAAAGAAGAAGGGATCTGTTATAACAAAGTTGATATTGAATGTGTTGGAAGAAAATGTGTTTGAAGAGAATGAGCTCGACATAAAAAATTGTCGTGGTCAAGGCTAAGACAACGGCGCTAATATGGCAGGTATTTACAATGGAGTTCAAGCTTTGATAAGACAGAATAATCCACAAGCAATTTTCATTCCTTGCTCTGCTCACAGTTTGAACTTATGTGCAGTACACGCTATTGAATCATCGGCTCCTGCAAAATCCTATTTTGGAAATATTCAAAAGCTATACAATCTGTTCAGCAGCAGCCCAGTTCGTTGGAAAATTCTTCAGGAGAAGACAGGCCAATCATTACATAAACTTTCTGATACACGATGGAGTTCAAGGATTGAATCAGTTAAGCCACTAGCAAAAAAGCCAAGAGAAATCTTGAAATTATTACATCGTCTAAAAGAGTTAGACCTTCCAGGCGAAAGTAGTAATGAAGTGCATTATCTCTTTAAATGGATGAATTCTTTTGAATTTGTTGTTTTCACTACTTTTTGGTTTAAATGTTTGATGGCAGTTAACAATGTGAGTCTTCAGCTTCAATCCACTCAACTCACTCTCGATGATGAAGTAAAGATTCTAAATGGCCTTTTGATGGATCTGGATCGAATCCGTCTGTCTTGGGACCTGATTTTGATAGAGGCAACAGAAGTTGCAAAGAACTTGAAATTTGATAAAATGTTTACTGTGAAGAGAACGCGAAAAAAGATCATCTCAGATGAAACTGCTGGTTACAACCACGAAGAAGCATCAAAAAACTTTGAGTGTAATGTCTTCAATGTTGCACTCGACAATCTGACTAGTCAAATGAGATCAAGATTAAAAGTAATAGAAGAGGAATGTAGCAAGTTTTTCTTCCTTTGGTGTTTACAGAAATCTCAAACAGACCAAGAACTAGGCTTAAAAGCTGAGAATCTGGCGTAACTTTACCCAGAAGACTTATGTAAAAACGAATTTTCTGATGAAGTTTGGCATTTTTTTTCCGTAAGAAGAAATATTCTAGCCAGCGAAAAGCCTGTATGAAATCAGTATGAGTATATTTAGAATATTTTTTACATAAAGATTGAAGGAATGAAAAATGTATTTAATGCATAAAAGATATTTATATTTTCATTTGAATTATATTTTGATCTTTTATTTTGTGTTGATTAATATTTATTTGATGCATAAAATAAATTTATATTTTTCAAATTATACCAATGTTGCTTTTCTTCCGTTTGTCTGTATTGCATTATTACGAATATTACAAACTTTACATAGCTTTGTATCTAAAAATTAAATAATTTATCAAAGTTATGCTTTAAGTTCAAAACTTGTTTGTGTTTTTATTTAGATATAGTATAAAATTTGACATTTAAAAGAAAGTGCGAGTAATATACAGAAAAGTGACCTGTAAAAGTTAAAATGAATAAATTTATTTAATGTGATAAAAACATATTATTTAAATATATATATATATATATATATATATATATATATATATATATATATATATATATATATATATATATATATATATATATATATATATATATATATATCAACTTAGTTTCTCCGCGTAGTGGCCTTGCTTGTCAAGGTTCGTGTTTCGGAGTTAAAGAGTTGAGAGAGGATTGTACCACAAATAAGAACAAAAAACAAAAAAATGAGTAGCCTCCTCGGCCTTGGGGAGGTGAACAATGTAAAAATATATATATTTATTTATAAGAGGCAGTGGCCTTATTCTTCACAAAAATATTAATTAACAAAATATATTTAGATTATAATGTAAACTGGGGTCTAACTTTATTTGTATCTTTGTAACATTTATAACATATATAAAGAGCGCTCCGATAGGAGCAGCTAAAATCCATTTTTTTTTAAATTCTGTAACAGTTTGCATAGCAGTATATTGGTTAAGGTATTTTACCTAAACATGCACTTTGATTTAAATTATCATTTTTGGATTCTTTCTTGTTTCGGAAACGTTCAAACCTTTTTTGAGTAGCGCTCAAAAAAATGTCTTTGGCTAACTACATGGGGTGACTTGAGCTCTTGTTAATGTCACCCAGTGAAGTGAAAATGACAACTGTAAATATCTGAAAGTTATAGGGTAGTTTGATTGTTGCAATGATAGAAATAAAATTTTGCAAAATCCGCATAAATGTTGATGTATTAAATTAGTATAAAATGGAATTTTTATTTATGCCTAGAAACTAAATCATGGAAGCAGAAAGCATGTTAGAATAGGTTTATTATATGTACTTTAGAACGGGTACAACGCATTAAAAGTCTTTAAAATGGTTTATTATAAGCCTAAAGATACCAGATCAACTAATGATATCTTTAGTAATCTAGATAAGATTAAATGCGAGGAATATTCTTTGCCCTATTCATAACCCAACTTTAAAAATAAAATTAAAAGAGGGAAAATACGCTAATCTTTGTTGCTGTCTTAGACGACGTGAAGACTCTTGTGGCCACTATTTATATACAAAATAAATTTGTTTGAAATTAACGGGAAATTTGAGAAAGTCGGTATAAATAAAAAAAAACTTAATTTCTGAGTTTTATTATGCCTAGAAATTATAAATAAAAATTATGGAAGCAGAAAACATGTTATTTGTATCTGTCTTGGGTTAAAGGAGGAAGGGGGGGGAGGAGGAGCTATAGACCCGATATAAAATGTCTCAAAAAAAGAAGCCCTGGGCCGCGAAAAGTCTTAATCCGCTAGTATAAATGTGTTCTGTGTGTAATACACACTGTATTCGTAGGCTCTTTACTTGATTTCACTATAACTATTATCTCTTGTTATAATTAATGCCAAAGTATGCGGGTAATAAAGACATTTTCAAAATGAGTTCGTTTTTAAAATTTGGATAACTGGTTCCCAAGTTATGACAGTTTATGTTGGGCTCATTAATGCCTATTTTGCGACAAGATTTCTTGAGTTTTTCTTAAGGATTTATGGCACCAAATTTTGAATACTGTCAATTTTTAAATACTATCAATGAGAACGAGTTTCTTTGAAGCACTTATGCTAAATTATTTTTATTGTTTTTTTTTTTACTAAAGAATCAAAGCATTCAATTCTAAAAATTATTATTCTCATATTAAAGGCCCCTAGGTAAGGATTCTACTGCTCGTTTGCCTCATTTGGGGCAATTGAATCAAAAGCTATAAAAGCTTTGTTAAAACCGTAAAAATCAACTTTAAATAAAGAAATAGAGTTTTCCAAACGGTCAGAGTAAACAAATCCATTTACATTTATAAATATCAAGAAAATACGTAAAAATCTTAGGGCTAATTTCCCCAATTCAGGGCAATCGGGCCAAGAACAATCAAAGTACTGTACAAACAAAAATTAATTTTAGTTTAAAAAAAAGGGCATTTTCAAACTGTCAGAATAAACAAATTCATTTATACTTATAAATACTAGGTAAAACTGTAAAAATACACAGGGCCTATTATACCATTTCAGGGAAAACTGGGCCAAGAGTACAAAAAGCTCTGTTAAACACGTAAAAATTAACTTTAGTTAAAGAAAAAGAGCTTTTTCAAACTTTTAGAGTGAACAAATTCATTTACATTTATAAATATTAAGAAAATATGAAAAAGCCTTAGGGTTTGTTTCCCCCATTCATGGCAATCAGGCCAAGAACAATCAGAGCTCTGTAAAAACAATAAATATTAACTTAAAATTTAAAATTAAAAAAAAAAAATTAAGTCAGAATGAACTAATTTATTTTTATTTATAAATTCTAGGAAAATATGTAAAAATACACAGAGCTTGTTTTGGGGTAAATTAGGCCAAGAGTACAAAAACCTTTTGTTAAAACCGTAAAAATTAGCTTTAGTTGAAGAAAAAGAGATTTTTCAAACTGTCAGAATGAACAATTTTATTTACGTTTATAAATATCAATAAAATATGCAAAAATATTATGTCTAATTCCCAGAATCGAGGCGATTGGACCAAAAACAATTAGGGTTCTGTAAAAAGAATATAAATTAACTTTAGTTTTAGAATTAGTGCTTTTTTATATTATCAGGATAAACAAGTTTATACACATTTTTTAAAATCCAAAATATATGTAAAAATCCCAGTGCTCGTTTGCCCCATTTGGGGCAATTGGGTCAAAGGAAATAAAATTTCTGTAAAAACCAAAAAAATAAACATTATTTAAAGGATAACCACTGCTGGAAAAAACACAATTGTCAAAAAATACACAAAAACAAAATAAGGAAAAATGCAAAAATGTATTTAAAATTATCATCCACAATTTCTTCTTGTTTACATTGCACCACAATCTTACAAGCAGTTCATTGTGTTTCCTGTAAGAAAAATAAACAAAAAATTTAATGATCATGCAAAAAATATAACAAAATTTTTGTTTACATATAAATAGTAACAAGGACAGGTTCATCAACTAATAATACTATAGAAACTTTAAAGTGATTCTACCTTTTATAACAAAATCATATCTCCTTTATCAAAGTCAGATAACAGTGGAAATGTATAAATGCTTTCAGGTTCTGATTCATAAATAACATCATATGTTTGCTTAATTTTTTTTCCAACTTTACCCATTTTAACAACATTTGCTTTGCACCAGAAATACTCTTCATCAACTTCTTTTATTTTATGAAGAACAACTTGCCCAATTAAACTAAATGGATCGTCTAATAAAGCTGGCAAAAAAAAAGGACTATTTGTTTTGTTTTGCAAGATATGACATTCTAGAATCCTTTCTTTTTGTTTCTTAATCAATCACAGCGTTGGTTTTTTTCTTTTAATGTATTGGTTGTTTTTTCTGGCGGAGGCAAATTGCAGGTACAAATGACAGTCAACAGGTTCTCCATTAACTCTCCTGAACAAACATTTTGCCATCATTACATAACGATAAAAATCTAATTGAACTCTAATGACTTGCTTCCTTAAAGTATCATTTAAAATTTTTGAAGATTTATCTTTTGCTTCATCCGCTGTTAGCCAAACTTGTGATTTCCATTGAATAAGCTCATTTACAATATTTGCTTTTTTCAGGATGCCTTCTTTTTTGTATCTGCTTTGAGTTGCTGTTTTACTATCAGAATATAAGATTTCTTTGATATTAACTTAACTTGACGCTTTTTACTTTAACTTCATTTTTTTCAACACTATTAGAAGCTTTTTCAATTAAAATGTAACGCTCTTCTTCTGACTTTGCATTCAACCAATCTAAGGTTTTGTTTCTGTACCACATTGTATATGCTTGAATTGTTTGTATTTTAGCATTAGGCTTTGTCCGAATAAGTAAATCCAGAATCGCAAAATCACTTTCTGAAGCTTTGTTAGTTGTTGATACATTTTCAGCAGCCTTTTAAATTCTTTTATCTGAGTTCCAATATTTACCTCCTGGAGGCTGATCAATTGCTTGTCTTTCTAGAATTATTAAAAACGCATGGGAAATTATTTCTAATGACTACTGCACCAAGAAATCAAATTATATATATTTTCAGTCTCCTCAAAAAGTTTTTTATAAAGTTTATCTTTATGCATTTTAACATCTCTTGAATCAAATACAGGTGTTTGCTTATCTTGGACCAAATACAGGTGTTTGATTAAGCACGAGATTCTGCTAAAAACAATAAATTTGATATATCTTTATTAACTGCCTGTAAATAAATTATTCGGATTTGGCCATTCAGACAAAAATTCTTTAACAGATTCAGAATGATAATACAGTGCAGCCCCATTATAAAACAAAATGTTGAACCTATTGCCAATAAAAGGAGCAAACATACATTTGTCTTCACTTTTTCAATGATAAAAGAATTAAAATATTCTGCCACACCAGCTTCATCACTACCTCGTTTATGGAATGCATTACATGCAGTACGTATCAGTCTTGCAACCCCAGATTCGAAAGTTTTAAATGCAAAAATGTCTTTATGATCATCACTCATAGTAGGTACGTGACAATCGCGATTTACGGCTCCGAATTTTATGCTAAAATTCTGTGCCACGTTTTTTGAAGTCCGTTTAGAGTTAGCGTAGTAAAAACATGTTTTGTCAGATAACTTTTTAGAATTTGATATCAACATAGATTATTTTTAAAAACTAGAATAGTTAACCTTTATTACTTTTTGGTTTGTAATTATAATGACTAGTTTTATGACTGAGTTTATTGATGTCAAAAACTTGGTTGTACTTCTGACATGAAATTAGTGTCGAATATATGCTGGAAACTTTTTCAATTATATTCTTTCACCTAGATTTTTCATTTATCTATGCACCTACAAAATTTCATGGAATATTTTTTAGTAGCAGGCACCTTATTTTTAGTAGCACTTTTGGTACCTAATTTTTTTTTTCGATGCCGATTTGGAAGGCAGAGGGGTTGCTTAATTATTTTATATTTGATTTAGATAAATTAGTAAAAAATGTCTCAGGATCAAGAAAACTATGAAGGTTTTACTTGTTATTTAATTCAAGTCAATTATTTAAACATTTTCTTTAATTCATTATAAAGTTATGACACTATTTATAATGACATTAAAAATAGTGTCATAACTTTAAATGAGGAAACATTAGTTTCCTTATTTTAAAAAAAATTTATTCAAAATAGCGATTAAAAACATTTTTACAAAATTTTAATGAAATTAAAAAAGTTAAAATGATTTTTTTAATAAAAGTTGTATATATTATAAACAAAGGTTTAGCTGATGGCCAGGTTTTCAATAGATTATCTGTTTGAGTTTATACATTTTAGATGTCATTTAATAACCAAAAGTATTGTTTATAACACATGTAACTTAAACAAAACTTTAAATAAAAAACATTTAATTAAATTATATGTATTATAAACCTAATTTAAAAAACATACTGTTTTAGCTGCTCAAAGTATTCCAATTAATGATTCAGGCAACAGCATCAGTTAGTTATTTTGTCTCTAATATTTTCATAGTTATAAACGTTTTATGAAAAATCAATATATATAGTATATGAAAATGTTTATATTGCTTTGTTAAAGTAAAGTTTATTTAATTATTGTTTAGATGAATTCATCTAAACATGATCGAGAAAGGCTAAATAACAGCCAGTTTTATTCCTGTTATATGATTTATTATTTTATTACATAGTTGTTTACTCTTAGTATTTAAGTATTGAGTTTTTTATAAAATGGAAGAAGAAAATAAAGGTTTCATCTAGTATTTCATATCATATTCATAATAAGAATTTGATGTGAATTAAATTATTGATGATTCATATCTAATTTGAAGATTGAACGTTGTTTTTATTTAATAAGAAATATCTTTATGGATAAGTTGTTTTGATATAAATTTATTAAACTGTTTTTAAATTATCTGGCCACTATCTAAATCTTTATGTATAACTTAAATATTTCTTTCACTGTTTTAGATGCCCAAAGTTGTAGTGCAGCCGACAACAATGTTGTCGGCTGCACTACAACTTTGGGGATCTAAAACAGTGAAAGAAATATTTTTTTATAACTGGTGTTGTCAACATCAGTTATAAAAAATTTTACTAACTGATGTTGTCAACATCAGTTAGTTACTTTCTGTATTCAATAGCTTAGTAGTTATTAAATAGATGATATTATAATATATGTTCTATATATATATATATATATATATATATTATATATATATATATATATATATATATATATATATATATATATATATATATATATATATATATATATATATATATATATATATATATATATATATATATACATACATACATACATATATAAATGATATTAGTTTTCTAATACAGTTCTTTATTATGCCTGTGTAGATTGTTGTCTAACAATGTTATTTCTTGTTAGTTGTATTTTTGTATACTTAATACTTACATTTTTTTAAGTCACTCTTTTTTTTCTGTAGACAATTTAGAACAAACAATCAGAAGTTAAGTTAGACTGTTTCAGTTACTAGTTTTTGACTTGTCAAAAATATGTTGCAAGTGTTGTGACTTTCATAAATAATGTTTATTTTGAAACAGGAAATTTGTTTATTAACCAAAGAAAATGGTTAGCTCGTTAACCATACTGTACGGTTCTGTTAATGTAGGAATCACATGAAAGACAATAATATAGGTATTTGCTATACTTGGCATACGCCCTCCCGTAATAGAAACACCAGTTGTAGACGTAAGATCATGTATAACATAATTTTATATTGTATACTAATTTTACACATTTCAGTAAAGATATAAATATAAAATCAAGTCGTTTTTGATACTAGAGTGTATCAAACCACCACCACCACACCCACCTATATTGCTAACATACACCTCTTATGTATTTTAATAGTTAAGTATAAATTTAAAACAATTTGTTTTAATATTTATATTGCATATGTCTTTAAAAAAAACTTTTTTTCTGAAAAAAGTGTTCAGTGTTGTACGGGCATGGTGGTGGTTTGGTGCCCCCTCTGTCCGTCCGAAACGCCCGGTGGTTAGAGTTTAACATAAAGTTGTAGCCCACTCTTACATCTATCTTTTGACACTAAGATATTTGTTTTTCGATAAGAATTGACAAAGTTATGACAATTTAAGTAAAGAAAAATATTATTTTGACCACAGTTTCTTTAACAAATCCTAATATCGAAAAACCGGTACTTAAACCGTCATAACTTTTGAACCAATTGTTCAATTTTGATAATTTTTTCACCTTTAAAATACTGTAATAATCCTTTTTCTAATGATATATAACATTATAGTTTTCAAACAATTTGAAATTTTTACTTACGTACCTACTCATAGCTAATTTGAAACTGGAAGAAAATCGTTGTCTAAAAACTGTGCACACATAGGATAAGTCTTTTTTTTCTAAACCTTGATACCATAAATACAAATCTCTATTCTGCATTTAAAACAGCTAGATATAAAAAAGTGTTAAAAATAAAAGTTACGTAAATTAACGCTCTTTATAGATGCACAAGCTATATTGGTTGAACGCAAGGCGTACTTAAAAAACAGGCCTTCTCATCGCGCAACGGCTTAAAAAATGTGGAGGCTGATTTAGTTAGCGGCAAAAGTTACTACGAATAACTTGTATCCCTACCAGAAGACTTAAAAATGCCCAGAAAATGTTGTGTTACTGATTGTAACTCTAACTATTACTCAGTAAAAGATAAGACAACTACTTTTAGATTACCGAGAGATCCAGTAGAGCGTCTAAGATGGATTAAAGCAATCCCAAGAGAAAATATACCAGACAAACATGACACTGTTACAGTGTCATGTTTGTCTGGTATATTTTGCACAAACTACAGTGACTGTAGTTTGTGCAAAACATTTTCCACCAAACTTCCAAGTTATTAAAGTAAAAGGAAGAGAAAGACCTCGAGATCCACCTAGTGTATTCGAACAAATACCCAAGAGTTTAGTGCCAACTCCTCCACCAGAAAAAAGAACAACAACAAAATCCAAAAGCTCTGTAAGATCAATAAAAGAAGATGAACTTTCAAAATTCGAAGAGCTTTACAAAATTGATTCATTCGAAAATTTTTGTAATTCGTTATCTCTAGAAAAACTTAATGATTCAGTTGTTTATTATAATTGTTTAAATAGCTGTTGTATTCAATCAAAAGAGCATGAAAACAATACTGGTATTAATAAATTTTGTTTAATAGTATTTAATGATTTATCATATGAAGCCTATCATGCTGGAGTAAGATGCACTATTGCTTCTTTAGTTAAAAATTGTATTCATAAGTTCAAATGTTGGTCGCAAGTTCATGAGGCATTACGATATTTGATTTCCTTTGAAAAGTCAGAAAAGAAAACAGTTTTAATTCAGCAATTTGAATGCATGAGTAACATGAACTCAAGTAATATTCTTAAGCAAAAATATTCGCCTGAAGTAATTGTTCGAGCTTTTGAGTATTTTGCACAGTCACGTAGTTTATACAATCAATTAAGAAATGATTTTCAACTTCCTAGTATTGCTACCCTTACACGTTTAACTTCAAAAGTTTCACACTTTGATGATAATACTTTTATTTGTAGTGTTTTTTCAAAACTCAACAATGGTCAAAAACAATGTATACTATTATTAGATGAAGTTTATGTTAAACCTATGCTAACTTATCATGGAGGACAGTTGTTTGGTAAAGCAGTAAATGATGAATCAAATCTTGCAAAAACTGTATTGGCTTTCATGGTTGTATATTTTTATGGAGGACCAAAATTTTTAGTTAAAATGTTACCAGTAAATAATTTAGATGCAGATTTTTTATATGATCAAACTATTATCTTAATCAACCAAATTACGAAGGCAAATGGAAAAGTTATTGCTTTAATTAATGATAATAATAGAGTAAATCAAGCATTTTTCAAACGATTTGATTGCATATTTCCATGGTTAACAACTGATGGCATTTTTTTACTCTTTGATTTTGTGCATTTAATAAAGTGTATACGAAACAATTGGATAACTGAAAAGTCTGGTGAAATTGAGTTTAGTTATAGAGGAAAAAAATATAATGCTAAATGGGATCACATCAAAAAGCTTCAAAAGTTAGAAGAAGGTGAATTGGTTAAAATGTCTAAGTTGACTTATGTTGCTGTTAACCCAAGGCCAATTGAGAGACAAAAAGTTGATACATGTTTAAAAGTTTTTTGTGAAGAGACTATAAATGCATTAAAGTGTTATCAAGGTATGAAAGATGATGATATTGATGGAACTATTATTTTTTTAACTAAGGTGGTTCAATTTTGGAAAATAGTCAACGTTAAAAGTCCATCCGAAGAAATCCATTTGAAAGACAACTTACGAGCTCCCATATCATATGTTGATGATTTACGATTAAATGATTTAATTGAGTTTTCTGAAATGTTAAAGCCAACATTGATTCAAGGAAAAAGAATTAGAAGTATAACCATGGATACAAGCAATGCATTATATCAAACTTGTAATGGTTTAGTTGAACTAAGTAAGCATTTGTTAGACAATTCTCAAATGTATGTACTGCTTGGGAATTTTACAACAGACCCCATAGAAAGAGCATTTGGAAAACTCAGACAAGGTAGTGGGGGAACTTATTTTATAAATACTCAACAAGTAATTGAAAAGTGGAATATCAACAAAACCAAACTATTTCTTCAGAAAACTATCAACATTTCAAGTGCTGAGTTTACATCTGGTCATATTTGTGATAATTGTTTTTATAAACTTTCAGAAGATGAGTGTGAGATGTTTAATCATTTACATGAACTTTTAGACCAACTTTCATCGAATATTAAGTCATCTTTAGTTTACATTGCAGGTTATATTTCTAGAAAAGACAATGAAGATGATAACGATGACACTTATCTGTATTATAGTAATTATGGAAATTTTACATCTGCCTTAGATCGTGGTGGTCTGAAAATACCCAGTGATACATTTTGTGAATGGGTATTCTTAAGTTACATTTTGTTTAATTTTGTTGGCACATCAAACTTTTGTAGATATTCTATGTCCTGCTTATTCATGGATATTGCATGTATTTATGGTTTCACCATAATTACAAGAAACCATTGTTATATTTTTACAAATATATTGTTTAACAATTTTTGCTATATGCATTCACCTGCATCAGACAAGGAAACCAAAGTTAAAGCTTTAAAACTGTTTTGTTAGCTTTTGTGAATAAATATACCATAAAAAGTTTCCAGTTTAACTTTAGATGATATTTCGTTTAAAAATTGTTAATTTATATTTTTACTTTTTAATTCTTTCTGTTAATGTTTCATTGTATGCAAATACATAGAAGTAGCTTGGTTATCTTTTGTTATTGTTATTTTTGAACTTACAAGGTGTTGTTTTTTTTTACTTTCTTGACAAAATAACAATTATTTTTGTTTTATACACGTTTTTGTAATAAAAATATCGACTTCTTTATAAAATGATAAAATATTATTTAGTAAAAAATGGCATGGTTTAAGCCTTACATTCTTCTTATCCTAAGTTTTTTATTTAACCAGGTTATGCATTTAGAGAAATAGACTAAGATAATCAAATCACAAGCTCCTACTATATTGTTAAAAGAATTTTTAAATATTTAAAACTTAAAAAAAAAATTGTTTAATAGTTGAGAGCATCAAAACCAAATCAGCCTCCACATTTTTCAAGCCGTTGCGCGATGAGAAGGCCTGTTATTTAAGTACGCCTTGGTTGAACGCAATATCATAATGGCATCAAAATAAAAATCGAAAAAATAAAGTTTTTTTTTTAAATTGTTAAGTCCAGATATAAAAAACAAATTAGTTTAAAAACAAGTATCAAATAATGTAATTTAATAGGCTAAATCTTTTTTGATGTGCTAGAACCCAAAAAAAGCAATTTAAAACAGCCTATTTACTTGTCAAAAAGTGTAAATTAAATAAATTATCAAGAAAACAACTTGAAAAATTTTCTAGCATC